TTATTTTGCCAGATTGGCATTCCAAAAAATTTTGTTATCAGACACGGTTCCTATTTTTGTTCACAGAATTTACTCAATTTTTAAAATCGCTTTAAAAATAGAACACAGAAAAAGTTCATTATATCCCAGTCCATGGTTGATTGAAAAGTCACAGGGTAATGAAAGAATCAATTGTAGCAAATATCATACAAAATATTTGAATGGCCACAAAAAGTACTGATGTTTAAAAACTGTATTATAATAATGTAAACATTCTGTAACTCAATTTTCACCAGAAGAACTATTTTTTGGTAGAACATTAAACTCCCATAGATAGCAATGATCCTCTTAAATTATCAGAAGATTTCCAGGAATATTCCAAAAGATAAAGGAACAATTGAGTAGAGATAAGCAACAGTAAAATTAAATGAGGATGAATACTTTAATTGAAAAAAAATATTTGAAAGGGGGAAAAATTCCAGAATTGAAATCGGGGGATAAAGTTTTTATGCAGGAATTACTGATCGAAGGGTGCTACATCCAAAATACAGGGGCATATGAGATCATTAAAAAGCTACGAAATGATAATTTATATAATAATTAGATAATAAAACCACAAAGTTCACGTAAGTAAATGTTTTTACAAAGCCTTCAAGAGTAGATTCAACACAAAATGAGGATTAGGAGTGTAACACAATTGTTATTGTAGATCAGCAATTAAAAAAAAAAAAAAAAAAAGTGTAAAGAAATTGTGGTTTATGGTAAGAATGTAGCTGTGTACAAGCTAGATAATGAATGATGATCATGTGTGGTATGGGTCAATTTAGTGGAATAAAGCGCTAATTGCCACGATTTTGGTAGAGTTGGCTGGTCATATACCAGAAGAATTGAGTTGTATAGCGGTCTCATTGATTACTAGTAGCAGATTAAAAAAAAAAAAAAAAAAAAAAAAAAAAAAAAAAAAAAAAAAAAAAAAAATCTCTGACTGCTGAATCAAAATTGAAGGTATGTTTTTAGTAGTGGAGCTAATACAAATGTAGCTTGGAACAATGCTAAAGGTATATGAAATGTATATGAAATGAATATGATCAAATATAAAAGTAGCTATGTATGAAATAGTGAATTGATTCTAAAATGTAAAGAATGAAATAAGGTAAACAATGGTTAAGAGGAGTTCCATCAAATTGATAATGCAATTTTTTAGTTTAAGTGATGATGGATATTTAATATATGTGGATTGTAAATTATGTGTCGTAAGTGCCAAATTTCACTGCTGGTCGCATCTGGTGGTGATTTTAAGGAGGAGTAGACATGCATGAGTACGTAAAAGAATAATACTAATGTAAAAAATATATATCACAAAATGTTAAAATGCTGTGTTTTTTTTTTCAAGCAATGTGAAATTGTGTGATAGTGCATACGAAGCTCAACTGTGTCATAGAATGAGGAATGTATGGAGTGCCAATGAAATGATAAAGTGCAGTGCCTTTGCAAATGATGTAAAGATTGGTGTGAAATGTGTATGTAATGCAGACGAAATTCAAGTTTGTCCAGCAGAGAGGGATTTCATGTCCAGTGTGGGACAAATTTTTTTTTCTTCGGGCCGGAGGGAATGTGAGAAATTGTGGCTACATCGATTCTTCCTATCATGCGCAAGCACGTGCGTCGAAAGGTATAAAAACTGGAAGGACAGGTTTGTCTCGCTCTTTTTTCCTCTTTCCCTCTTGCTGCGTGATGTTTGTGTTAGCGAGTGTGTGGGCCTCGGGCCACACACACTCAGCAGTCGCCATTTGTTCCTGTCTAGTTTGCACGTGAATGTCGTCATATTTTGCAGAGAAAGAAGCAGAATGAAGAGATCCAGTACCAAGTAGAGTGTTTGATTTGAGACTCACTAAGTCCGGCTGACGTGAATAACATAAATAAACGCTCAAGCAGAATATAATAACTGTTCGCCTTCAAGATGTGCTTGACCAGCGATGTGTCACTACGTGATGTTAAGTGTGTAAAAATAACATGAATGTAAAAAAAAAAAAAAGAGAGCTACAAGTGTGTAACCAGACAGCGCGATATTACAAGATTGAATAAGACCACGTTTCAACCGCAAAATTATTCGATGGGAAGATTTGAGCGAATGTCATGCTTCGGCACTCCACGACATCCATTTGGTTATCGCATTGTGGGTATCTAAGTTATGATTTTTGTATTTTATATGTGTGATAAATGTGCCTTATTTAATCCGAAAAATATGTTCGATAAAATAAATATGAGATTGAAAAATGAAAATGTTCGGCTCATGCATGCATCATTGGGTAAGTCTTGTTAATCTATTTAGTAATGATTATGCAATGTACTAAACACTAAATTTTAGTTTAAGTATTTATGCAAAATTAATTTGTATTTGATATTCTTAGTATCGTCACTTTTGGCGATCACGCCCATAATACCACAATATGTTGGAGTTCCAATTTATAAGCGTATTTAGTAGAAAAATTGAAATCTTTTCTTTTATCAGAAAATTTAATTTCAGTGAGGTGATGAATACTTAGATCAAGATATACTTTTTCTGTTTGGTTTTTAATGGTCTTATTTAGTTTTAGACAATTTGGGTAGATGTTGCTATATTCGAAGTTAACAAAATTGTTGAAGGTAATAATGTCATCAATATATATGTGTGTTCAAATTTACTGAAATCACTAGCAGAAAGGCCCTTTAGGAATTTGTATTCCTTAGAAAAAAGGGACCACCAGCGGCCGAACGGTAAAATCGCTGAACTGGTAGTTCGGTCGCGAGTTTTTAATACCACAACGGGCTGGCTGCATTGGTGTTTTCGTGGTTTTCCCCATGTGTAACGTGTATACAAGAAGCCAGTTTTCCTTAAACGTCCTCCACGAAGGCATCCTTTCCCTTAGCAGATAGCTTTAGTGTGCTTTGCCGTATTTCTCAATCACCACTATCTTTAGAAAAAAAAAAGTTAAAATATGAATGGAAACTGAACTTCCATTGAATTCCTTGCTTTTGCATGTAAAGAATGTTAAATAAAGTTATCGCATAATGAAAAATGTAGAAATTTTTTCTATTTTTGTAATTCCAGAATATTATTTCAGGAAAAATTCTGCCATTTCTGAAAGACTCATAAATTTCATTGAGTGGTAGAGACGTGTAGAGGTTTTCAAAGTCATAGCAGTTAATACTGTAAATTTTAAGATTTCTAATTTTTTGAATGATTTTTAAAGTGTTGTTTATAATCCAGCAGTAGTAACTTGTTCAAAACTTTTTAACTTGTTCAAAAACTATATTACAAATAATTTTAAGTAGACTAGTAAAAATACCAAAATACTTCTGGAAGTTTCTGGTACTACTGGCTCTAAATATAAATTTTACAGGATTTTTATTAAATTTGGGTAAGGCATAAAAGATTGGCAAATCTGTTATTTGTAGTGAAGTGAGAAGTCCTCCATTTTTTTGTGAAAAGCAGAAATTTTGTTAATAACAGTTCTTTCTTTATTTTTGCAGATACTATAGGTAGAAGCATTTTTCAGCTCATTTTCAATTACAGTCAAAAGTCGTTAATCCGGACTCGTCGGGACTTCGGTGATTCCGGATTATAGATAATCAGTTTAAATCTCGTAAAATGGCATGCAGAAATTCTAAAATTAAAAATATGAAACCGTAATTTATGAAATAAAGAGCAATTATGATCTAAAGGATTTCAAAAAAAAAAAAAAAAAAAAAAAAAAAGCTTATATTTATTTGTTTACTTTATTAAACATTTCTCTCAATGTAAGTTTTTAAGTTGCTTTTCATTTTATGTGATAATACTTTCTCTTTAACCTTAAAAAGACATAATTTCTGTTCAGTTACAAAGTTTTCGCCTGTTCCCGTTAATTGCGTGCCGAGAATACCGACTAAATTGTCAATTGAAATTTTTTTTCATTTTACTAACCTCTCTGTCACATTCTTCATGTCTTTATCCATTTTTTGCAGCAATTCCACTTTTTGTTTGTTGGACATCGAAACTACTTTCGTTTTGTAGATCCTTGTGGAAGTTCCAGCATCGGATTATTCTATTTGACATAATCGAAAGTTCAAGTTTACTTTTATAAAATTGCTCTTCAGTCTGCAAAAAATAATAAGCGGGATCCAATTCGAAGATTAAGGAAACAATGCAATCATTAAAAATTAACTGAAATAGATAATTAGATAATTTTAGCTTACAGAGTCCGTTATACATTAATTAAACGCGCAGACGAAAACGTATTCTGCACTTGCGCACATGCATATGCACAGTAGTCAAGGTCTTACGCGCACGCGTAAAATGCCTGCGCACATGTGCCAACGCGGCGCAAAAGCAGATTAAGTCATTTAGCTTTGTGTCCGAATTAACGACTTTTGACTGTATATCATTGTACAATTTTTTCATAAAGTACTGAAATTATTGTTTGCTTTATAAATTTTGGTAATGGTAAATTGAGTTTTTAATCGTGAAAACTTCAGAAGCAAAATTTTCCAGTTTTTAATTCCTTTAAATCCTTATATTTTCTCAATTTTCCTTTTGCTTTGAGTAACTATTTCATTCTTCCATTCTTTAAATAAATGTGAAGGCAAACTATCACTATATGCAGACACACATATATATATACCCACATACATACACACATGTAGTAATTTGTGTGCATATACACACATAGGAATGCCTCCAAATAATGTTTATGATACAGGAGATATTAAACAAGAAATGAAATATACTAAAGTAAAATTTAAAATAAGGCAAACCTTTGTTTGGCATAGACTATAATTAATACAAACAACCCCCTTCCCCCCCAAAAAAAAACTTGAACACCATTTTATACTGCTTCTATCAAATGATCATAATTCAGCATTGAATTCTAATTAAGTTTCGCAAGAGTTTGCTTTAATTACTCAGTCATCTCTCATTATAATTATTTCATTGCTCACAATTCATACTACTTTTTATTAACATTAAAATGAATCAATAAATTTACCACATAAAGCCAATATACCTCTAATTTAGCTCCATCCTGGTCGGAAGCATGTGGGAACATTTTTTGAACTTCTTCCTTAAAATACCAATAATTAAAATGATAAGCCTTTTAATTACTTCAGGTAGCATAAATCTATGTTTATTTGGCATATAATATATACCTCTAAATTGGATCGAAGTGTTCTCACAAGCTCACATGCTACTTCTGCATTATTTAAAGTCACCTGAAAAATTAAAACATAAATTTACATCATAAATACAGAAAAATCCACCAAGCCATAACATACAGCAGAATGAAAGCTGTTCATTTATAGTAAATTCCTTATTTACATTTTCTAACCGACATTAAAAATATTCTACATATTACCTGTTTCTGCATCAACAATGAAAAAAACTGATGGCTAATTTCAAGCCCTTCCTATTTTCTTATTTTTTTTAAAGGCTTAATGCTGCAATAGCACTAATGCTATTAACATCTCACTTTGGAGATTCCTATATACTGCAGGATACTAGCATCTGGATTATATCTCAATCACAATATATTTCCTGACAAAATGGAAAAATTTACTTCTTGAAAGTCAGCTTTCATGCTGTTTATAGCATCAAAGGATCTTCTGTATTGCACCGTCTTGAAAGTTTTATGGTCTGAATGGTTTTATGCACCATTCTAGGTTACCATTAAGTTAAACATGTCAATATTTGAATTAAAAAAATTTCAGCTCAATATTCTAACTGTAATACATATTCTGCAGTGAGTGACTATTACATTTGAAATAAATGCATACTCTGCAGCTAGTGACTATTCCATTTGAAATAAATGCATATCTTGCCCATATTCTTCATTTTCACTCTTATGATTATTTTAGTTCTATCTAATCTACATTCACAAAAATTATGAAAAAAAAGTTTATTTTACTTTAATTTTTACCTTTAGTTTTTCTCATATTATGGGCAGAAAAAACTTAAGTCCCAACTTCACTAGGGCTGCACATATGTGTTTCATTTTTTGGAGACAAACCTCTACAACACCATATGCAGATACACAAGTCTTCATATTATTGTGAAAGGTCTGCATTTACATATGTTTGGAAATAATTTACATTTTACTGCCATCATATGTCTGTGTTTTGACTGATGGAATATTCTTGAGGTATTTGAAATTGATTTTTGCAAATTTTTATCTAGGTTATGAACTAAGAAAGTAAAGGAAAATCACGTTAATAAATTTACACTAATAACTTCATAATGCACATTATAAATCTTTGCGATTGTTTAGAAATTTATCTATAAAGTAATTTTAGAAAATTCCACTGCATTCCTAACATTCTTGCATCATAGCCTTAAATATTTATTAATAATATATGATTAAACTAAAGTTAATACAAAATAAATAAAAAAGTTGATCACAATGATGATTTTAAAATATATAGAAATTGTAATGAAAGCCTCATAACTGTTTCACAGTATTTGTAATGCTTTTTAATATATGGGATTGATTGGTAAATGTAATGCAGTAAAGCAAAAATTTTCCATATTTTAAAAATATTTGTTCATTTTGTGATTAAAAAAGAGAACATGTAACAAAATTTTAGCGTTAATTTCTTAAACTTGAAAACATAGCATAATCTTGAGATATAAGGAAGAATATGTAACATAAAACTTTAGCATCAACTTCTTAAACTTCATAAATCGACTTTTTATTAGATGTTTCATTTATTTTTTCAAAAGCATCATGGAAAGTTATCTTTTAATGCAAAACTCATGAAATATTACTTTAGTTTCCATTTTTCATTCATAAGTTCTTTGTGGAAACAATTATAAAAACAATTTTTTTTTAGAAATATCTGCCCATAAACAGGAGGAGAAAAAAAATGGCTCCACTATAAACCTATGGGATCTGAACTCATAACCATGAACATTTTAAATGCAATAGTAACTTTGCCTCTGCACTAACTATAGCTGTGCATGAGTTCTTTCAATTTATTTTACAAAGATTAGTTGTAAATCAGCTTTCAAATTTATTTTTTTCCCCCTCATTTAAATGTGCTACTACTTAAAAATTCATTACCAGTTTGTTATGTGAACTTCCAATGCATTTCTTAGAAAAACAAATTTTAAAATGGTGGTTCAAATGAAGTTAGAATATGATTTTTCTAACATAAAGATAAACATTTTTCTAATATATTTCCAAATTAAAAGAGGTACTTATAAATAGAAAATACACATTTAACCGCTTATTTAATAAAACAGAATATTTAAAATTGAATTTCTAAACATGTTACTAACTTTTTACAAGCTTCAAAAAAATTTTGCTAATGCCATATCTCATTTGTTATTTCACTTTAAGCTAGTCAAAACTTGCTCCTTTAAACGTAAATATGTATGCAGAAATGGCCTGGGAAAAATTTGTTAAGCAAAATTTTGCTAATTCATAGATTAGCCTGCATTTTATTTGCTAAAATTTCTTAACACTTCTCAGTACTCTATGAATACTAGCTCCATAGATCTATATTTTTTTTAAAAAACTAAATTCAGTTGATTGCTGTCTTTCTCAGTATGCAGATTTCTTGCTATAATGTCTATATCCTTGAAATTCAGAAACACATATTTTTAATAAATGTATTTTTTCCATCCTGCCTTTTCCAACATTATATTTTTAGTGAAATTGTCTGATTGCTCCTTTTTCACGTCATACCACAAAAAATATGGATAGAAAGTAAACATGAGTCAGCTGCATACATTTCATCCCTATTCACTGCAAGACAGATGTCAAAGTCAATCTGCTTTGAGGATTTTTCTTCTATGTTACCGAATAAATTAAATATTTCAGATACTTCAAATATTATTTTACACAAATCTGTTGATGGTATTTATATTTTATTGCTCAGTTTTCATCCACATCCTAAAGAAAAGTATCTTTGTATCACTTCATATGGATATAGCATTTATATAGGAGATGAAGTTATTGGAATGGAAGTATTTAAAAATATATTAAATGAGAATAATAAACTTACTTTATGGAGTGAATGTTGAAGCATTTAATTATGCTAAAGGAATGGTAGTTAAAGACATTAAAAATTGAACTATGACTTATCAGTATATAACTGGGAAGCACAATTGAAGAAAATCACCTGAGAATTTTACTTTGGAACAGAACATTTTATTTTAGAACAAATGATGATGTGCAATAAAAGTAAAATGGCTGGAGGTACGTAGTGACATTTTGGTCTTTGCATACTCATTATATATCAAATCAGCTGCTTGTTATGTTGCCTTTATGACAGTCAACTAATCTGCCTTCCATCCATTGATCATCTCCGAAAACTCCTTGGCCTGTTAAAGCTTGATGGATTGATAAGTAGTGAAGCTAATAGCAGATATGTAAAAGGTAAGCTAAAAAAACTACTGGAACATGAAAAACTGGTGAATCTATTGATTGATGAGTTCATGTGAAAAAAAAAGGTGACATAAAGGAAAAAGCATTAATTGGTTTTGCTGAAAATTTTGAAGTATTGAAGCAACATCTGTTCAATCCTTCATGATTTCTTCCTTATTATCAGATTACACAAGACATCATTGCATTAGTACCAGTGTAAAAATGACTGCAATGGATCTTCATAGTTTGATTTTAAAAGTTATTAGAAGATTGCAGGTTTTAATGTTTTGTGCATTATATCAGATAATAACCGAATAAATCGCAATATGTTTCAGAAGAAGAACTTAGCAAAGGATTCGCATCTGGGCATATATAAAAATCCAGTCAATGAATCAAAGGATTTATTTCTCCTTTTGATTCTGTGCATTTTTAAAGTCGATCAGAAAATAATTGGATAAACCAAAACTGATGATGAGAAAACTTTTGTGTGCCCCGACTTTAATGATTTTTACAAGACAGTTTCTCCTAAATTTTCATTCTTGAGGAAAATGTTTAGCATTGAAAAAAGAATCCATTATAAGATATGCGCATCGATTAAATTTTAAAAAGCATTATACCCCTCAAACTTCGATCGTCAAAATGTTCAACTTGCTCTGAACATTTTTTCATGAAAGTACTTCTGCAGCTTTACAGATGTGTGCCAGTCAGTATTCTTCTTTCTTAAACTGGAACGATACAGGATCATTTTTAAAACTAATAAAGAAATGGTGGGACATAATGAACGTAAATCATCCGAAGAAAGGATTAGACTCCGAAATCACAAATGGAACCATTTCTATCAGTAAATGACGAAAGATTAAACTTTCATGGAACATTCTCAAACTGGTTGAAAGAAGGGAAAAAGCTGAATCAAAAACCCAGATGTGGTAGCTTAAGTGAAGAAACTTTCTTTGCTTAACTCACACAACATCCACAATGGTTCTCATAATCAACATCTTTTGTTGAGAGGCACAAAATATATACTTACAGCCAAATTTCAGACAGATAATCTAGAATCTAGGTTTTCTTCATATCGGCAAATGTCGGGAGGATCTTATCTTGTATCTGTACAAGAAATTCTTCATCCGAGAGAAAATTGCGAATAAAATCGATTCTTCATTTACTTTCCAACAGATATGGAAAAATTCTTTTAAAAATGTTGATATCTGATGTCTGTGCAGTACAACCTCTTGAAGAAATTAACTGTTCTCCATTTATAGAATACTAAATGATATTGATATTGATTCAGTGAATATGCTGAAGCTGAAGTCCTAACATATGTGTCTGGCTACTGCGTGTTTAAAACTTAAAATTAACTGTTTTTCATGCCAAGTCATATTTTTTTTTACTGATAAGAGTTTGATTTGGCGATAATGAAAATCATGAAATGCACGCAGATAGCAATGAAGTGATGTACAGAAACTATTTAAGCCATATTAACCGAGGTGGTTTAAAACTTCCAGCTTCAAATATTGTATTTGTTGTGACAGTGTGTTTCTTAATATTTCAGAAACTTTTATCTCCTGATTACGAAATTTTATTTCTAAATTCTAAACAAAAACAACATTCTTTTACCTTTTTCTAGTAGATTAAAAAAAAATAATGAGCACTATTTCAAATATTTGTTTAAACAATTATACTAAAGTTCTTCAAAATAATATGTATACAAAAATCGATGAAAGGAAACTTACAAAACTTACGTGATGAAAAGATATGAGTGGTATGTAAATGACATTGTATTATTTTTTTAAAATAGTGTACTAAATATGATGCAATTCAAATATATTTTCAATAATGTATCTTTTACATTTAAATTTATTAATCTTTTTGCTGTTTCCTTATTATTTGATAATACTTCATAATTTTCAAAATAAATTATCAATTGCGATTAATTATTGCTTCAGTATACAAGTACAACTTGCACAGTCTTTGCTAATTAGACAGAAATGATGGTTTTGTTCTATGTATAGTTGTTTTGAGGTTTCGTTGGCAAATTTATTGATTTTACGCTTTTGTGAAACATTATATGGATGGCTTTTATTTGTAAATATTTATTTACTATGCATCTACATATAAGTAACAATGTAATATTATTAAATTATATTATTATAATTATTGCTATAGATAACATAATATGTGAAAATTATTCGTTATCTTAATGTTGCAGCAAAATTGTAATTTATTTAATTTCAAAGTTTTGAGATTTAAATTTTTTCTGTGGCTTTTGATCTGCTGTTCATTTTATTAGACAGTATTTTAAATGAAATAAAAAATACCTTTGCATAATGTTTTGAAGCTCTGAAATATTTATAGTTTTAAGGAAAAATAATTTTTTATGTCTTAATTTGCTAAATTATGTTTACTTTGTTAGTGAATTTATTATTTCTAAATCTTTTCATTTCTTTCATTTCTCTCCTTCTCAAACTGTAAAAGACATTTTTATGTTATAAATAACAGCCTTTTTATTTACTTATTTCAAAACCTTTCTTTTTGAGTGTATCCAAAATTATTACAATACCTGTAAAAAAAATGCACAAAATAACCTAAAACATGGCATAGAAAATTTCGTGAATATTTCTTAAAAAACAATATTTATTAAGTTATTAATCTTAACTGCAAATGAATATACGACCTTTTATATACGTTTTCCCGTAAGTCTCTGAAAATTTAATTATTATGCATTATTAAAAACAAAACACTCTAAACATCGAACGAAACGCTGGCATTCAAATCTGAAGCAAAGAAAGTCACGGAAGGATCGGACGCCTTTCATTACGTCACTCGCAGCTAACCAGGCCATGTTATCTCAAAGGCCACGCTATAGTCCTTTCAGATGTGATTAATACGCAAGATAAATATAAAAGTTCTTGCTGTTGGAAATTTTAATTTCATTATGCATAAAAATAATTTTATCACAATTTTGTGAATCTCTCACAAACTTTTTAAGTAAATAATGTTGATCTAAAGAGAGTGTTTGAAATTATTTCTAGACTGCAAGCAGAAGACAATCAAATCATTTATGTAGAACAAAGAAAGAAGGAAAAACACTTTTTTTTTTCATTTAATCAGATGATTTGACTCGGTCGAAGTTAATTAATATCTGTTTTTACAGTCTTCACTTCAGCCAGGTTGCTCTCATGCACACCTTGCACTCCTTCATCTTTTAAATATTCTAAAAACAACAAACTGGTAAGCTAGAAGTCCGCAGCCTAAAATAGCAAAAGGCAAACAAACTAGCATCAAGTCTATCAGTAATTTTTTCTGTTCAGAAGACATTAACCTAAGCTCATTAAAATTTGAAGTATTATATGGAATTGGTTATTTGGTTCTTGTACTGAATCACATTATTTCTTATAAAGTTCTTGACATGTGTTGTCGCACCAAATTTCAAAATAATTTTTATTTACAGCTCATACAGAAATTTGTTTATTTACATTTTATAAATTTTATTGTTTTCATTATCAAAGCCTAAAATTATCAATAATTGCAAACAAGAAGTATCTCATTACACAAATATAAGAAAAACAGAGAGACAATAAATTATACTTACTAAGAATTCAATTTTAGATTTGTCAATATCAGATGACTGAATTTGCAAACTAGACTGAAATACACTGTAAGCCTGAGTAAAATCTAACATGCTGGATGGAAAACCAAGCTTTACCTTTTCATTGAGAATTTCATAAAAATCAGTCTGAAGCAATGAGTTGGTGTGGTTTAACATAGCACACACAATATCAGCATTTGAACTTGATACAGCTTGTCTGAAAATCAGAATAAGAACAGTAAAAGGTCTCTTCTTGATAAATTGGCTACTAAATATAAGAATGCTAAAAATGTATTAATCCAAGAAAAACTCAGTCAAACATTCATTTTATTGCTTCCTTATTCTTTCTTCAGGGGATTTGTCCATTTTTGAAAAAATTAATACTATATAGTGATGTTGCATTTTCCTTTATTGATTTCCTCCCCCTCCTTTTCTTTTAGTTATTCAGTCTTGTTTTCATTTAAGAATTTTTTTGACATAATCAAATTTTAATGTACCAGTAATATCAAATCTACACAAAGTATTATGGCAATAATTTTGAACAAAAGTAAGATTTTTGAAAGATTTTTTACTTTTAAAAAAAAAAAATATCTTTACTTTAACTTTTATATCATCATATGCAATAGGATCAATGTTTCCAATCTTACTAAAATTTGCTTTCTGTGTTTATTTTATGACCTAAAAGGATAAAAATTCTTCTTTGATTGTTTTAATCTTAATATGAATTTTTTGAAGAATTTATAATTCAGTGAAACTGAACATTATTTGCTAGATTTTACAGTCAATATAAGAATAGATCACAAGCACTCAGCACACAGCTACTCTGCAAGAGAATACAGGAAATAACAAGTGCTAATGAACAATCTGTGGAGCACAGATTGTTCATAACATATGAGTTAAATATTTTACATTATTTTTTGTATTTAAATACTGAAGTTATAAGTACAGAATAGAAAAATTCTTTGATTTTTATCAAAAATGTACTCATTCCTTTTATAATACTCCAATATTTATTTAGCCGCTTTGACTTCTTCATTGGTTGTTGACTTACAGTAAAGCACATGAGGTTTCTTTAAGAAGGGAAGCCTTCTTGTAGGACCTTCATACCTAGGGAAAGTAAAATCTTACTAGATACTAATGTGCAAAACTGTAGCTACACTGGTGTGCAAAACTTAAGCAACAATATAAATTTTAATCAAATAGCCATGAAATTGCAGAAAAGAGGTTCTTGCGATGAGTACAATGAACACGCAATTCAGTAGAAAATTCCTACGTATGCAAATGTCAGGAACAAAACGTCACAGGCGATGTGAGCGTACGCAAAACACTTGCGGTCGGTGGGCTCAACTCAAGTCTACAATAAAAGGACGGACGTAGACGCAATTACAGAAATTCACTGCAAGTGCAAGTGAGTTCTTTCATGAAATATGGCTAGAAGAAATCACCTGGATGACTTCACACCTGGAAGAATGATGGGAAAGCTGGAGGAGGGGCATACTGTGACCAGTGTAGCTGAAGAGTTCGGGATTAACAAAAGTGTCATTTCGCTCACTTGGAAACCTTCAAACCATGAGTACAGCTGTTAGAAAGGTTGGTGGTGGACGTCCCAGAAAAACAACTGCAGTGGATGACCGATATATTGTCCTGCAGGTAAAAAGAGCCCGAAACCAATCAGCAAGCACCATAGCTCAACAATTGTATACAGCAACAGGGCGACAAGTGTTGCGGTTTATTGTGTCCAGACGCCTTCACAAAGGTAGCGTATTCGCCCGCCATCCTTTATGCTGCATCCCTCTGAAAGTTGGCCATCGACGACACACCATTTAGAATGATGCAAGGAGCACGAAAGCTGTGCATCTCATTAATGGAGTAGTGTCCTCTTTATGGATGAGTGCCACAAGCAATTCTCAACGCCAGCTGATTTGGAGAGAGGTCAGTTTCATCCCAGTAATGGTTTTATTCCAGGATCCCAGGATAGTTCCATTCCAGTAACATCACGGAAAGAGACCGCTATAGTGGTCCTGGAGATTTCGTCTGGGGAGACATGCTGAACGGGCGCACAGAGCTCCCCTATTTACGACAGAGTTTCTGTAACCTGGAGTTCGCTATTGTCAGGAGGTGATCCTTACCCCATACGCGTCTGTTCTATGGTGTCTTCGGAGCAGACCGATTTTATGGATGACAATGCACGGCTACACCGGACTCCTGCTATTCAGAAGCTACCGAAAGTGAAGATATCGCTCGAAAAGATTGGCCAGCATACTCCCCTGATTTAAATCCATTAGAACATGTGTGGGATGCCTTGGGAAGATGGCTTGCGGCAATATTACATTCTCCGGGAACACCGAACAACTGAAACAAATGGCGATTGAGGAATGGGCACTCTTGCCTCAAGATCTGTTGGAAAGTCTGGTGCTGAGTATGGAGAGACGATGCGAAGCAACCATTGCAGTAATGGGAGGACATATCCCATGCTAAGGAATATCTGCTTGTTGTTCTTCCTCTTGTACAGACAGTCATGTGTAATGATACTACGAGTTCAATGAAGCCAGTTTTTGTCTCGATTCCATACTGTATGCATAGTATTCATTTCCGCGCAACTATGCTTTCGCCATCATTTAAACACAAACTGCTGTCTCACATTTCTGAATTTCATATCTCTCAGAAGATTTCTCATGGAGTTATGACAAAAAGAACACCTGTTGCTTAAGTTTTGCACACCAGTGTACTTTTCTGATTTCGGCTGTAATTCCACAATAAAACAACTGAAAGACATGAAATACATCCTACAGAGGCACAATGCAATACTTAAAGGATGAGGAAAGTATAGTAGGAAAAAAAAAATCATTAGGATGCATACAGTATGGTGTGGGGATTATTTTAATTTCCCAATAGTTATTTTTAATTTTGAAATCCTTTCTTTTATTCCCTTGCTTCCCACCTACAACTCCCTGCCAGAATGAGCTTTCAATATAATTTTTCATTTAAATGAGGTAGAACCAGTATTTAATAGGAAACTGAGTCACTTCCATAGAAGAGCTCAGAAGTTCTCAGTAGAGCATGTTCTGCCTTCTGCTATATTGTTGCTTTAAGCCAATCATACTATGCGCAGCCATAGACTTACATGCCTGTTAGTATTCGCCGGTGAGGTTTAATTAAGGGCCAACTCAGTTAGTTATTTCTGTACAGCTTCGGCTAAGTTTTAGTTAGTTAGAATTAATTCAGTTTCTTATTTTCTATCTTAAGTTAAAGCCCAAGTGGAGGCCTTCCTGTAAGCCTGAGAGGGACCATCTGTTATTATTGAGTGGAATAAAAGGGTATTTTAACCATTTTTAAAACTTTATTTCTGCAGTGTAAGAAGAACAGTGAATAGTTGCTACACTCTTTTCAAGTTCTGGTTGCCAAGGACACGTAATGTAACTAAAACCATATGACGGAATGAACAGAAAAAGGCTTTATTGACAAAATGGTGTTGCCCAGAAAAAAAAAAAAAAAAAAAAAAAAAAAAATCCACCCAACAAGGAAGAACAATAAACCAAAAGGCCTTAGTAAGGGATACAGCATCCCTTTACTGCAATGGTTGCACTGCATCATCTGCAGATACTTAACACCAGATTAGGTAACAGTTCCTAGGGTAGGTAAAAGTTCCCATTCTTTAAGGAGGATCTCCTGTATAGCTTTGCACTGTCACTGTCATCCATAAAAACAAAGTCAAGACCAATGGCACACTAGAAAAGATGCACAGGGGGAAGGATAAATTCAATGCAGTAATGAATCTCCAGTAAGTGAACCTCAGTTGAAAATGTGCAGCTCTGTCTATTTGTTCATCATAATGCCTTTCCAACACAAGTATGCCAGGACACCCCCTCTGTTCTCTTTCCCTGATGTTAGTGACATGAAAGCATGTCCCTACCTCTCTTTATATCAGCTGGTGCCAAAAATAATTTGCCAGACTGAAACAACTCTCATTGGTGAAAAGGACCTGAGTTCATGTCCAACTTTTCTAAATGGTGTCCTTGATGAGCTATCATTAATAGTATGCAATGTTCAGGATAATGTGCAAATAGCCCATCTTGATGAAGGCATCTGGCCACAGTAAACTGTACCTGTTACCTGGAAGGCTTTCCAAGCTTGTGAAACAACACTTTTATCAATGCTAAACTTTTGGGTGACAGACCTTAAACTACGCATTTTCAAGTTTGCCAATCATTTTACCATGTGTAAAGGCATCCTGATATTTTTTGTCCATATTGCATGCATAATTTTCCTTTCACCTGCAAAAGAATGCCAGGAAATGCACCTTTCTCTTTCAAGTTGCCTTGGATTGTCCGCCCTGACTCTTTGCCCGACTTGCACACTCTGACATACTCTCTGATGTTATGGTGCTGATATTTGCACATGCATCACTTTTTTACCGAGTTGGTTTTTCATTGTATTGACTGCAAAAAGTTCTTTTCAACAATTTCATAGCTATTTGTTGAAAAATGAATTTTTTTGCTTAAGTTTTACATTTTTAGTGTATTATATGCAGAGAAAAGGCCAAACCTAACAATTGAAAGCCATTACTTCAATTACCTGGAAATAGAACTGGTACAAAACTACCAGCATTTTGCAGCCTCAGCCATTTGGAAAATAGTTTTATTTGAAAATCAAGCAGTATGCTGCTGGTTTTTGCTATACATATGTTGTCTACAAGAGCATAAGCATAATTATTAAATTTTAAAATAATTCACATTCAAACATTACATTTAAACCTTCTATTTTGGCATTTATTTGCAGTACTTTACGAGATTTTATTCACTTTGTGTGATATTTATAATCCTTTAACTGTTAAAATACATTTTTTCACATAAACTTCACCTTTAATTCAAACCTTGGGAGGATGGGGTAACCATCTTTCAAATATTTAGATAAAAGTATTTATATTACAGCATAGACTTCTATGATAATGGATGCCAATATGAATAAAATCCCAAATGGTGTATTTGATACATGCAACACATACTTGGATAATTCATCAATGATAACTCATGTAGAATTACAATATATACATTACAGATTACAGAAGTATATTTTAAATACATGGAGCTATAAATTTATATGCAAAAAAAAAAACAAAAAAAAAAAAAAAAAAAAAAAAAAAAAAAAAAAAAAAAAAAAAAAAAAAAAAGGGGGGGGGAATAGAAATTTGTTTTTGATTCCACAATGATATGTCTGTCAACACAGAAAATAATGAATCAAAATTATATCAGATCAATTAAATCAAATTTCTTCAAATTTAATTTTGTATCAAGGTGCCTATACCTGCTAACCAGATACTTTTTGGCCTCAGTATTTTGCATTGTTATGGCTATTCATGTTTATTTAGAATAAAGATGCCAAATTAAATGCCAATTTCAGAATCAAATATCAAATTTTACACAAGAAAAAATATTTAAAAATTTATTATATTCTGTGTTGTATGAATACATTTATTGCAATTTTGCTATTTGCTATTGAAAGGAAAAAAAAAATTCTTATTATTCTTTTATCTAGAAAATTTATTACATGTACCAAGTTATAAAAAATGCAAAAAGAACATTTAACTTCTCTTTTTTATGTAATAAATTTTGAAACAATGACTTTCACACAAAGAAAGGAAAATTTTAATGATTTTTGAGAATCTCTACAACACTTTTATGTTATTCCGTTATCCTTAAAAGTTTGATTCCATACAAAATAATACATCTTTATAGTCTGTACACAAGAAAAATTGTGGTGAGCTATTTGATTAGGAGAACTATTTATTATTAAACCTCTGCGGTTATCATAAATATAGCATGTTGTGCTTAGCAATAAAGTAATGACCAGTTTACAATCTTTGATAAAATACATACAAAACTAATTGATGCAGACAAAAATATCTGAAGCAATATAAGTTCACGTTAGCAGCAACCAGAAACAGCATTTGAAATTGTATGAATTTACATCAGTGAATGCAATTGTGTTAAGTACATTAAAACGTACCTGAAATTCTATTCTATGAATAAAATTTTAAACACACGTTTTGAATAAAATTTATGCCTCAAGTTACTCAAAGCCTGGAATGTTTCTACAACAGCTTCTAATAAAGTTTTATTCAGTATCTTAATATATCAGTATATAATATTTAATTACACTGACCTAGTTTTATGCTATGATATAGCTTAGGATAATTTTTGTTATAATTAAATAAATCAAATTATCACACTTTACAGAATCACATGAAAATTCAACTGGTATTTATTAGCAGGATTCCTTTCAAGTACTACTTAATTTGTGATTCTTAATAATGAGTTTATATTGCCTGTTTACTAATAAAAGTATTTCACAGTAAATGGAACTTATGTACACGGTTTACCCCAGAAGTTCTTGGAATGACCTTTTATAGTTGGCAATGCTGGCAACCTCATCAAGCAAAAAATGAACCAGGTTTGGAACGGCATTATGCAAACAAATTTTGTGTGAAACTGGGTAAAAACAGAGCAGAAACGTTCAAAATGCTTTGGAAAGGCTACAGTCATGGGCTGATGGAAAAAGCCAAAGTTTCACATTACACAAGTGATTCCGGGAAGGTCGGGAGTCTGTCTACAACGATGACTGTTTGGGTCGCATGTCGACATCACAAATAGATGACTCGGTGCAAAAGATACATTAAGTTTTGGACAAAGACCAACAATTAAGTGTTCGATGGTTGTAGGAGTGTGGGATACCCAACACAATTGTTTATTGTATTTTAACGAAGAATCTTCAAATGAGAAAAGTCTGCATGATAATGGCACCAAAAGTCCTGATGAGTGAGACGAAGGAGCAGCATTTATTGAAGTGCCAGAAATTGCATGAATGCTAAGAAATGGACCCAGAATTTTTCGACAGAGTGATCACAGGAGACGAGACATGAATTTTTCAATACAATCTTGAAACAGTGTCAAAGCGGCAAGTGGCACATCAAGGAGTCTTCTCGCCTGAAAAAAGTAAGGATGAGCAAACCGCAAATCAAGGCAATGCTCATTGTGTTTTTTAACAGAAAAGGTGTCGTTCACATTGAATTCATGCCACAAGAAGAAACAGTCAACAAAGAGTTTTACTGTGAAGTGTTCATACAGTTGCGCAACAAGGTTTGCCGCATCTGAAACAAAATTCACGACAAATGGATCTTGCACCAAACCAATGCATCAATCCACATCGCACTCTGAGTTGCTGGCCAAAATGGGTGTTGAAACACTACCCCAGAAGCCAAGAACCCTGAAAGGAACTCTGCATAAAATGCTGGAGGAGGTAAAAGCAGCCTCCAGTGATGACCTCACTGAAGGAGATTCCTCTTGATGACTTTAGAGTCGCCTTCAATGACTGGCTGAAGTGTAGGCAATGGTGCATCAAAGCAGAGGGAGAATACTTTGGAAAGTCCTGAAAAAACTATAAAGTGATATTGAGAAAAATGATTTTAAAAAAATCATTCTGCAAACTTTGGGGACAATCCCTGTATAATATAACAATATATGTAAAGAGGAATGACATCTTTAAATGAAATTATCTAACAATCAAGGTATTTCAATATATCAATAAAAAGCATTAAAAATCATTTTGAACATACTTCAGGCATTTCTTTATGATGAAAAAAACATCATCCAACATGCTTGAAGTAAGAGCATTTTCTTCAATTACATCCATACACACAGCCTAAAAAGTAAACAATTCATAAGATAGCTTCAATTAGATGAAACTTCATAAAATAATAATTAGAATATTTTATTACACAATAAAATTATACTATCATTCACAGCCAATATTTTGCAGGATAAAAAACTTAATTCTTACAAAGCATGTGTGAAATCTACCTCCAAAAGACATTAAAATAAAAAAAAAAAAAAAAAAAAAAAAAAAAACCTTTATTATTTTTAATTACAAATGAAGAAATTCAGGTAGCCATTACATTTATTTTTAAGTTCCAAGCTGAACAATTTAATTACAGTATTATACTCGTCTTTTTGTACAGCATTAGTAAATTAAAGAGACAGATAACATCAAAAGGAATTTATGCAATATATATTAACTTACCACATGAAATTCATTGTCATTCATTTAAATATACAGAAACCTCAATCAATTTCATGAATATAGGCTACCTTTTTATTTAATATTTAAGAATAATAAATATATGTAGCAAGTTCCCAGAAAGTTATCATAATGATAATAAAAATAAACATTACTATAAGGAAAGGGAATTTCTTAGTTTTGAACTAAATGTACAGATGCTACTGGTATTAATTAACTTTTACAATATGAATATCTTGACAAACAGGGAGATTAACAAAGTGAAATATATAACAGGTTGCCACTCACACCTCAATGAATTCCTGACTTTTCCAGGTTTCCAGTATGTTCAGAAAAATCCAGTATATCCGCGTAATGTACGTTGGCTGTGCTAAGAGGTAAATTAATTATGGTTTACTTGTACGGTTAGCAAATTCATTTAATTATTCAATAAATCCCAGAGGACATTATTCTAATTTTCTGGTACACTTGTTTGATAATTTTGTTTACTTTTCCGCTTAAAAAACTTAATAAAATTCAATATTACATTGGATACATGTGGTTTATTAATTATTACTCAGATCATCCCCAGTTCACCGAGGCTATCCGGTTTTTGATAAATCACAACGCAATGCAAAAGTTAGGTTAGAGTTAGGTAAATCTAATTTGTGTGAGTTATTCTTAAAGGAACCTTAACACTTGAAAAAAAATATAATTAATAGGAGTTTGTTTTCTCCACTGAAGATTGAGATTAGAATCTGCCCCAATCTGGAATAAAATAGCTTTTTTTGCAGACGTCTGCAGCTAAACGAAAAAAGAAATTATTAATGATTTTTTTACTAAATTGAGGTATTTTATATTTATTCCGCAGCATACTACGGAAAAAATATGTGCATTAAATTTCGTGATGTCATCATACTGCTAGAATTCATTTCAGGATTATGCCAGAGAAATTTCCTGAAATTTGGAAATATTATTTACTAATGATAAATAAATTTAGAGGGAAGAAGCAACATTAAATGATATGAATAACATAAAAATAAAGATAATTACTTAAAAATTTAATTAGAATAATCAACAATATTTTAGCGAATATAGTTATATTACATGGCTATCCTAGATGATTGATTACTATTTTTTTATTTTACTGCAAAATGACAAGGTATTTAAAAAAAAAAAAAAAAAAAAAAAAAAAAAAAAAAAAAAAGATAGATTTTGCGGTAAAATCCTAGTATACGATATGGCCACGGAGTATAGAACGGCCTTCACATGATTTTGAAAATTGTTGCCAAGAGCAAAATGACCCGTTTACTGCTCATCATCATGTCGCCAAATCCCGCTGTACCATACATGGAGATTATTCTGACCAAAGAACGTCTATGTAAAAAGCGGAGGGAAAAATTTGCCAAGGGATTAGAAGACGGAACGGCCAGAATTTCCCTCTCCGCGATGTGTACAGGAAATTGAGAAACACGTGTTAAGAAGAAATGTTCTTTGACAAAAAAGAAAACTACGAAAATCCTTTTATAAATTATTGCGAAAAATCCAAGAAGAAACGTTTTATCAAAGAACATTTTTTTCTTCGATTTTTCGCAATAATTTTAAAAACGGATTTTCGTAGATTAATATCTAAGTAAATCACTCAAAATAACTAATCCATGAATTAATTTACTTGCGCCAAAAAATATTTTCTTTACCTTTAGAGTTTAAAGACATTTTAAACGATATTCATTTTATGAACTCTTGATAACGTGACCTTCGAACTTCAACACCGGTTTCGAGTTTTGGCGACAGATATATCGTGCATGTACAGCTATTTCCTGCTATGATGGAACCGAGCCACGTTGTTGCAGAGAGGTTTTTTCCTTCTTACATACATATTTTTTAATTCTAACCTTCATGGTACCGTATACTAGGATAAACCCATTTTGTTTTATACGAGAACAGGTACTTTCTTTAGTTCATGCACTGCACATGCGATCTCGAGGTTACTGGAAACCAAAAGTTGCGGGAAACTTGCTTTGCCATTCTATCAATCAAATAAAGACAATCAAATTGGAGCTGGGAAAATTGGCTCTATGCCAGCTGCCCGAATGACACTCACGTGATACACAATTCGCCAAAAAAGTTATCTCTTCCGACGTCGGCGCAAAACTCGCCATTTTTGGCGGAATCGTTGTATGAAATTCCCTGACTTTTCCAGATTTTGACTAAAAGACTTAAATTCCCTGACTTTTCCCTGAATTTTTTGGTCAATTTCCGAATTCCCTGACTTTTTCCGGTTTTCCAGGTAGCGTGGCAACCCTGATATAATTAGCTAATTTCAAAACCACATTATTACCTTGCGAATAGATTCCCTCATAAAATATTCTTCCATTGTAACATAGGTGCCAAGCAAATCATGCATTAAGCGACTAAGTTCACATTCTTTCAGTAGTCGATTTAAACGCTGAATTTCCACTAAGGATGCACAATTAATTAATTTAATGGCAATATATATACATAAATACAGTAAATAAGAATAATAAATTCTTAAATGTATAAAATTTTTTTAAATATTTCATACCATTCTTAACCTTTTCATCAGGAGATGATATTTCAATATCTCCCTACAGAAAATGAAAATAATTTTCATTGCAAACACGAAATAACAAACAATATGAGCAAAAATATTGTCTCAGTATACAATAACAAAGTTTTACAGTTATGCAAACGGCCTGTATCACACTCAATGATGCATTTAGTATTACACAGATTTCATGAACACTGCAATTCATTTTATTATCATTGTTTTTTTGAACTATTTCTCTTTCTTAAAATGCATTTTGGATCATAATTTTTTATGAATGCTTCTAAGAAGTTCCTGTGGTCTCTTAACTTAACCAATAAACTAAAGAAATGAAATCATTTGAAAATAAATGCCCCAAATTTCTTTACTGCCATAACTGTTAGACCCATTTGTTTTATTTGTGTATATTACTTTTGTGACACATAAAAACAGATCTACCTATTTTATCATTATTTGAAGGTAATTAACCTTGAAAGTAAAAAAACAAGTAAAAGAACAGGGCAGAAGGTTAGGCAGGGCAAATCACAATAAGATGTATAAATGCTTTCTTTTTCTATTTAGATCATAGCATGATTATAGCACGAAGTTAACTGGATCATTTCTGCTAAGTACTAAACAATCTGGGAAGCATAACTTCAGCCATGGATGACAATTCTGGCTGAAAATATGTCCTTCATAATTATAAGGTCTACCGGAAAATTCTGTCCATTTCAGAAACTAAAGAAAGTCATGAATTGCTCATACCTTTAATAATATTTATTCTAAAATATAGTTTCTGTCATTACTTATGACCTTTTCCAGTTTTGAATTTTCCTCTGTTCAAAAAATTTTGCAAGAAAAGAAGTGCTAATTGGAGGGTTCTAGGTCTGGGAAGTATGTGAATGTGGTAGAGTTTCTCAACACAGAACTACAATTTTCTGATGAGTCACACTAAAGCAGCATATGGTCTAGTATTATCACAATGCAATATGATGTGCTTTCTATTGAACACTGCTGGTCTCCTTTCTTTGACTGTTTTGTTTAAATCATCTATTTGCTGACAGTATCTTCCAGAATTGAGCTTTTTATTAGGTTTCAAAAGCTTGTAATGTATTGGTCCTTGGATGTCCCATTATATACGTAGCATTTTCTCATTCAGCTTAAGCTCAATTTAGAGGTGGAAGTGACAGGCTGTCTGAACTCATAGTATGCTTTTTTCTAATGATATTTTCATATGTAATCCACTTTTCATCACCAATAATCATCCAGTCCAAGAAAGTTCGTTTTTGTTCCGAGCAACTACAGATGTTCATATGTTGACTTGATGAAGCAAATTTTTCGCACATAGGCATCCAAATGTTTATAAACCAACTCTCATCTATGAATATGATCTGAAATGGTTTGTTAATCTTTTCTACAATCTCCGATGTTGTCAAAAAGGGATTTATTATGGTCTTCACATTTTCATCAGCGATTGAAGATGGCCACCAAGAGCTTGGCTTATCATCCCGGTTGAAACCATTTACTTCCAAATTTTTGACATCTCCTGGACGTTCTATTCAAAATTACATTTCTACCAAAAACTTTTCCTAAATTTCAACATGCTTCTGTAGCATTTCTTCCTTGTTGGAATTTATACAAAATACAGTGTTGTAAATGAACTTGTCATGTTTACACATCATGCAGTCAAGTTTACATGATCATGTCTCCCGTAATAAAGACATGAGACACTTTTGTTTCAATTAATTTAGAAGACACATGTGCATAAATGCAATGATAAAGAAAGAAAGAGGCTTATATATGCCTCAAATAAACATGTGCATGATATTGAAACTTGAAATAACATTATCAGACAGAACTTTGCGGTAGACCTTATACAAAACAGTTGGTAAGATTTTGCGAACCCAAAATTCCGCTAACTGACCCACATAGGGAAACAACCCATAATTTAAGAACCCTAGATAAAAATTTTATGAAAATTATGGCTCATTAGTTCACTTTTTCCAATCTGCTATGGTGTAAATCTGCACAAGATGTATTACAAAATATTCAAATTTAAGCATATACTTTAACATTTTGCATCCATTTTAAACATTTTTTTTTTGTTTTTGTTTTTAAGCATTTTTTACAATAAAAATGCTGAACTCTAAAAGAACTAATTAACTGGTGAAAATTCAAAAAAATCTGCATATTTGTCTATCCTTTTAAAGATCACATCTTAATAAACTGAAATATACAGACATTAATTGGTCTAATTACGAAATAATAATAGGCTTCACATTACTAGGTGCACTAATAAATAATAATGATTTCATATTCACATAAATAATATTAATAAATTTAAATTATTTTCCATTTATTTCAATATTTGTCATATAATAATTCTTTTCCATAAGATGATTTACATCTAAAAGAAAAAATTTTGATTTTGTTCCATTTATTGATAAAAAGTTCAAATTTTTTTCCACGTCTCTCATTTACTTCTTTAAAATATAAAAGACGATGAAAAGATTTTCTATACCCTTGCTTTCAGAATTTCAACTGTTCATCAATTTTTTTAAAATCACTTTCATCACTTTTTTAAAAAAATGTGTTAAACTGGCGAATTATTTACAATTATTCTTCCTAAACCTCCACTGACTGAAATTTTTAACTAAATGACTAATAGGAGTTAATCCAAAAAAAGACTTATAAACTGCTCTACTACCTACATGAATAACCTACAACCTATAAACTGCTCTACTACCTACATGAATTACTGCTACACAAAGAATGTTTTCCATCTATAATTTTTGGCCCAAAAAACATGATCACGGCTCAAAGCTTCAAATTTGCAATTAATATTTCAATCCATAATTTGAGATAAGGGTTTTGGAAAAACATTATTTGAGAAAAGCATGAAAAACATATTGAACTTATGTTGATAATACAGAGAAATAAATTTCAAGATATAGAGGGTTTTGAGAAAGGTTCCGCTGCAACTGCTTTTCACAATTGGAAGAGGAAAATTTAGCAAACAGGACTAGATCGAGGTATGAATAGACAAAATGTAACAGAAAAGATAATACTAGCCACAAAAGTTCTAAAACAGTAATACCTGGAATACATATAATATTTATTTTTATATACTCAGCTACATTCATATTAATGACAACCATTATGAATGTTTTTTTGTGTGATTTACATATAGCAATGCATCACAGCCGCATCCCAAAATCTATCACTAATATCAGTGCCCTACCATGAAACAGATCTACTTGATAGATTTGCTAAGTACCAGAATTCTTAAATGAATGTGCTGAACAAGCACAGTTTAGATGTTTAGTATTTTTTTAGCTCAAACTCAAATCAAATATTAATGTAAAATTAAATTAAAATATTTTAATGCAGCTTTCTGCTTCTGGATAATTTGAAAAACAAAAATGTTATAATACCACGGAATATTGAATGTTTAGAAAGAAAAAAATTAATTGACTCTAATATCCTTATATTAATGCTTAAAATTAAAATTTTCATAGTAAAATCGAACTTTTGTAGTAAAATTAAAACTTAGTAGAACTTCTGTAGTAAAATTAAACATTAAAATTTTAATTAATGCTTAAAAATGTTCACTCATAGAAATTGATTTTTTCTTATTTTTAAAACCAACAGATTGAAGAAATATATTTACTATATACAAATGTGAATTTAATTTATGAAAAATATGTTTTTAATGTCAGCAAAAAATAGCACTAAAAACCAAAATTTTAATATTTTGATCACACGATCTATTCCTGAAGGAAACCTAAGCAATTAAATTACTTCAATATAACATTCAAGCAGAAATTCAAAAATGTTCTTTTGTAAAAGATTTTTCAAAAGGTTTCATGCCAAATTACAAAATTTTACAAAGGTCTCTAATGGTATGATTATGAAAATTTCAAAATTTAAAGTCATTCTATATATTATTTTTAACACTATAAATAGCTGCAAGTAACTCAAAAATTATAAAATAGCAACTTTTCTTAACCTTTTTTCATTAACACAAAGCTTTACATGTTTATTTCAATGCTAAAGTGCTAAATTTTTATTAACAAAATAATTTTTTGTTTAATTTAGAATAGGCATTTCATTTTTTTAAACCCAAAACTTGATTCATAACAACAGTAATGACTGCTGTAGTTTTTTTCTACAGCAATCATTGTCATTATTATGAATCATGGCTTGTTCCTCTAATTTTGCTAAAACCCTTAATTCCTTCTGTGCAATGATAACAACACACGTTATAATCATAAATAAGGAGAGAGTTTTTAGGACTCGGAAGTGCCTATTTTAAAGTAATAAATTATAATAATAGTTTTCAATAAACTTATTCATGGTTTCTGAAAATTAGTCATGAAAGTGACTAATTTTCAGTCACTTTTATGAGTTTTTACAAAAATTTGATTATATTTTTGTAAAAATTGATATCCATGAAGTGTTTGTCAAGGATATCATTACTGACCATGATTCTTCTTCTTATGAATCTTAGGTACAACTGAGATCTTGTACTTAAAATTGTAATTTCTGCAAGGAGACTGTCTAGCTCTCTAGGATCTATCCTAAAATGCAGGAAAATAATAATTACTATTATATAAAAAATTATACTATCATTTAAAATATATAGTATATTAAAAATTATGCTATCAGAAATATTTAAAAATGAAAAAGTTTAAAATTACCACACCTTTCAGCTGTACGGTATGGATTTTTATTCAATTGTTGGATAACAGCAGCCTGAAAGTGTAAAATACAAATTTAAAAAATTAGCATAATAAGCTATAAATTTACATCTGTAATCAAAACTACCATAAACAAAAGACTCACTTGGCCTTTTTAAAATAGTTTTAATTAACAAAACACAATTAAGATAAAGCATTACAATTAAGGGCATTATAATTACACATTTAAGTTACAAAATAAATCTCAGGGAAACCCCATGCTTAGTTCATAACTCCCGTACATCGACTGAAGGCTAGTCTTTTTTTTTTGGCTAGTGTTTATTACGGTGGCCGCTAGGTGGCACTTGTTGAGCCGTGGGGTTACAGACTCCCCCTCTGGCTCGTACGACGTCTACCTCATCTCCTATACTCTATCACCTGGTTCGTAAGATGTCGATGACCATAATATATTTTTGTGCTTTTCATACTCTTCACACGTCACTGAATCAGGATGATTCATCAGTAACATAGAATCTAGATGATTCCCTTCAAGCCTCATTGAATAAGGATGATTCATGGTACAGCATAGAATCAGGATGATACTTTTCAAACTTTACTGAATCAGGATGATTCATTCAAAACTTCATAGAATCAAGATGATTCCCTCCATACTTTATTGAAATGGGATGATTCTTTTCAAACTTCATTGAATCAGAATGATTCATCAACAGCATAGAATCGGGATGATTCTCTTCAAGCTTTATTGAATCAGGATGATTCATTCAAATATTTCTGAATCGGGATGATTCACTCGAAACTTCATAGAATCAGGATGATTCTCTTCATACTTCATTGAATCGGGATGATTCACTCTAAACTTCTTGAATCAGGATGATTCACTTCAAACCTCATTGAATCGGGATGATTCTTTCCAAACTTCACTGAATCTGGATGATTCATCTCACAACACAGAATCAGGATGAAGGATGATTCTCTTCATACTTCATGGAATCGGGATGATTCATCACACAGCATAGAATCAGGATGATTGTCTTCATAATTCATGGAATCGGGATTATTCACTCAAAACTCCATAGAATCAGGATGATTCTTTTCATACTCCATTGAATCAGGATGATTAATTCAACAGCACAGAATCAGGTGATTCTTTTGAAACTTTCACTGAATCGGGATGATTCATTAAACAATACAGAATCAGGGTGATTTATTCAACAGCACAGAATCAGGATGATTCTCTTTAAACTTTCACTACATGGGGTTGGATCTCCCCCTGGTTCCAAACAGTTCTTTTGAATTTTTGCAATAAGTGATTTAGTTGAGTACGCTATTTTGTATGTAGATATTTACCTTCGTCACTACGAAGATTCAAGTGAATGTTTCAAAACTTTAGCATAATTGGAAATTTATGGCATTTTTGTCTACTTGCGTAATTAGCTCTTTGAATTGAATCACTTTCAAATTATCTGAGATGTGCAGACACAGTTCTGTGGCTAACATTTGCAGATCTTTTTTCTGGTTAGTCCCAAAAATGCATGTTATCGTACTTTTGATGTCCGCTGAAAAGTTCAATATTTGAAGAAAAATTATATGTTCAGAAATTTTATGAACTTAATTACTCTTAACAATTACATAATATTTGAAAAACAACATCGAATAAAATCATTAACCTGAGATTACTTCGAAAACGAAACTAACATTTAACAAGGATTATTACACTTGATAATGGACAATAAATGCACAAAATCAGTAAGCATAAAATCCCCAAAATAGAATTTAACTTTTTTAAATCTTCTATCAGTAATGCCTATGATGTCTACAAAATTAATTTTCAACTGTAGTTCTCTTTGAAAAACACAATTAGATATAAGTTGTTCTCAAATATTATGAAATAATAATTTAAAAATTTGATAAACACACAATTTGAAAATGCAGCAAATATTAGAATGCCTTTTCAGAATAATGGTAAATAAAACATTAATTCAAAAGAAGTATTCTCACTGCATAAAAACAAAACATTAGTAGCACAGTTTAAATAATATACTAGATAAAACTCTTTTTTCACTTTTTAATCATTTCTACTCTCAAACAGGAAAAGAAAATATCTGTTAAATATCCGTCCGCAAAATATCCTTCATTCATAAAATAAAACAAAACATACAACTCGCTCAGAGACAGCAATACAGTTATAAAATCCTAAAAGAATTATACATACTGGAAACATTTATAACATTTTGTTACGTAAACACTTTTTGTTCAGAACTGAAACAAAATTTTACTTGTGTTGACTTCTAATGAAAACAAAATTATTCTTCATTTAGAGCATAGAATTAAAACACAGAAAATTCAAATAACAATCAATTATTTAAACAATGTAAGTCAATATAAATTCTTAAAGTGCAACATAGCTAAAAGGAAACATTTAGAGCTAGAGTGAAACAGAATCATATATACTTTATATATGATTCTGTTTTGTTTTCACTGACACATTTTTTCCATATTATTAAAGTATTAACGATGTTATAGTTAGAATTTTATATTGTTTCAAGTAAAACTGTTATCTCTTTATCAAGTTAAATGCTCATTAAGTGAAAATCTCTTTCTTATTAAGTTAAATGCTTATCTGTTATCTTCAGATGAAGATGAAACCATGCAATGTCCAAAATAACGTTCGGGTGAAGATAAAACCACTACTTTATGCAATTTCCAAAATAATCTTAGGGTGAGAGTAGAACCTAAAACCTGGAAAAGAATATGAGTCGATGTCTTGGAAACCTAAACTACACATGGTTTTCTCAACTGGAAAAATCATTCGAGCCGCACGTTGGGTAGCCAACTATAGCCAAAACTATCATAAACAAAAGACTCGCTTGGCCTTTTAAAACAAAACACAATTAAGATAAAACATTACAATTAAGGGCATTATACGTAGGTAAGTTGAAAAATAAGTTTCCCCTGTCGACTGTGGTCAGAGTTGTGTATGAAAGTCAAAAAATAGAATGAGACATTAAAGATATGACATACCTTTATTTTTCCACATAGGTACCAAGTACATTGAGACATTTGTCATATCGCTTGATAAGCTTCAAAAAGCCCTCCAGGAAAAAATCAGGGCTTTGCATATGGAAGAAGCGTAGAACGGCTATGGGCGAATGGCGACACAGCAGGAAAATGCGCAAGTCACTGATACACTATTGGGTAGAGGTCGCTGCAAATCAAGCAGATGGTGCTGTTGCAGTGCCTGCGCAAAGCAGAGACCAGCCTCTCATTTGAGTCCCGGTAGGTATGGAAAGAAGGTGCGTTTTGAATTCGTGGTCAAAGGAGGAAGTGAGAGCGGTTATCCGCTATGAATGGGCACGTGGAGTATCAGGAACAGAAATTCATAACCGCCTCGTGGAAGTCTATGGGCCAGGTGTGATGTCGAAGCAAATGGTGCGGAGATGGTGTCGCACATTCAGTGATGGACGTTAGCAAGTGGAGGACATACCGAGAGCTGAAAGGGCACACACGGCCACTACAGATGCAAATGTCAGGAAGGTGGATGACATGATTAGAGCGAACCGGCGTATCACCATCGATGAAGTAGCGGAAGAACTTGGAATCTCACATGAGCGAGCTCAAAACATCATCCACGATATTCTTCGATACAGAAAAGTGTCAGCATGATGGGTGCCCCGACAATTGACCTCGGCACAGAAGGAACAATGCATGGAGGTCAGCCTGGAACATCTCGTGCGTTACCATGAAGCTGACAATGACTTTCTGTTTCGGATTGTGACGGGGGATGAAACGTGGGTCCACCATTTCACACCAGAATCGAAGGCTGAATCTATGGAGTGGAAACATCTGTCATCACCCGTCCGAAAGAAGTTCAAGACAACTCCCTCTGCAGGTAAAGTGCTCCTCACAGTTTTCTGGGACGCCCAAGGAGTTTTGTTGCTGGACTTTTTTGGAGGTTGGAACCATCAATGCTACGCGCTACTGTGACACCCTGTCGAAATTGAAAGAGGCGATTCGGAAAAAGCGGCCTGGCCTTCTCACATCTGGCGTTCTGCTGTTGGATGACAATGCCAGACCACATTCGGCGACGGCAACACAAAACCATATTGCAACTCTTGGTTGGGAGCGCCTACACCATCCGCCATACAGTCCTGATCTCGCACCAAGCGACTTCGATCTGTTTCCGGCTTTGAAGAAAAATCTCGGGGGAAGGCATTTTGGAAGCAATACTGAAGTGAAACAAGTCGTTTAACGCTTCTTCCCTATGCAAAGCCCTGATTTTTTCCTGGAGGGCTTTTGAAGCTTAGCAATATGACAAATGTCTCAATGTACTTGGTACCTATGTGGAAAAATAAAGGTACGTCATATCTTTAATGTCTCATTCTATTTTTTGACTTTCATACACAACTCTGACCACAGTCGAAGGCTGCATCTTCATCAGGGGAAACTTATTTTTCAACTTACCCTTGTAATTACACATTTAAGTTACAAAGTAAATCTCAAGGAAACACCATGCTTAGTTCATGACTACCATACATCGACTAAAGGCTAGAGTCTTTTTTGGCTGGTGTTTATTTCGGCGGCTGCTAGGTGGCGCTCATTGAGCCGTGGAGTTACACATCAGCAAATTACATCTTAAATAATAAATGCTTACTAAGCTTGTTAATAGCTTAGTAATGCTTATTTAAGCTATTGACAAAGTATTTCATTAAATAATACTTTGTTTCAGAAAAATGATGTTCTTCAATTACACTGCTCGACATTGAAAATGCAACACCAGGAAGGAGTGGTCAGAAAGTGATGAAATTTGGAAAAAAGACAGAGACAGCAAGCAGCAATACGTGATCTTTATTTCAAAATGATAGTCAGAATACAGAGCGAAAACAGCGTCAGATCAGTAGGATGTAGGATCACTGCAGACAGCGATGCACGAAGAAACACGTCTAGGCATAGAGTCAATAAGAGTGCGAATGGTGTCCTGAGGGATGGCTATCCATTCCCTTTTAAACATTTGCCACAGTTCGTCTTCTGAACGAGGCAGGGGCAGAGTCTGCAAACGGTGTCCAATCACATCCCACACATGTTCGATTGGTGACAGGTCAGGAGAGTATGGTGGCCAGGGAAGCATCTGTATACCTTGCAGAGCATGTTGGCAGATGCGAGCACTGTGTGGCTGGGCGTTATCATGTTGAAACTGCATTAGGCAGCCCCTGAAGGTAGGGGATTGCCACCGGCCGCAGTACATTATCCAAGTATCGTTGGGCTGTCATAGTGCCCTGAATACGAACTAAAGGTGACCTGGAATCATAGGCAATGGCGCCCCAAACCATTATGCCATGTTGCCGTGCGGTGGGGTGTTCTACAGTTACTGCCGGATTAGATCTGTCTCCACGTCGACGCCACACACATATGCGGTGACTGTCACTGGATAAACAGAAGTGTGACTCATCTGAGAACATGACATTTTGCCAATCTGTCATCCACAACACTTTAGTCCAGCACCATTCTAAACATTGGCGTTTACACTGTGGGGTCAATGGCAGTCTTCTTAACGGACGCCGTGAGTGCAGACCATGTTCAACCAATCGATGGGAAATGATTCTGGTCAACACGAGAACATCCAGGGTATCTTGCACATGCTGCATAATTGCAGTACAAGTGACTTGCGGGACCGCCACAGTTTGTCAGTGGATGCGTCGATCCACGCGTGCTGACGTCACTCCGGCTGCACCTGCACCCCTCCTTCTTCCCACATTTCCTTGTTCCCATGTTCGCCATAGTCGATGCACCGTGCTCGCATCCATGTGGGTATCAGCTGCGATTTGACATAAGGGCCAACCTGTCCTTCTCAGTCCGATCACCATACCCCTCGTAAAATCGTCTATTTGCTGGAAGTGCCCTCGTTGACGATGGCCTGGCATTCTCTCCTATTACACGTATCCTCCGGGACAAAAACCAATTTTCTTTGATAATTCGTCTGGCAGAAATAACGACACAAATACTGCCCATTCTGCACGTTCCTTCCCTTATATCTTATTTCACGTGCGTCGGAGAGCTGCGCATTTCACATCATTCGCATAACTCAGTGACGTGCATCTACTCTAAAATTTGCATAAATTTTGGACCACTCCTTCTTGGTGTTGCATTTTCAATGTCGAGCAGTGTATTAGCTAACCAATAAAATACTTTTGAATGCATTTTTAAATTTATTGAATTAAAACAAAAAATAAATTTAATTTAATTAAATATTTAAAAGGAAAAAATCAGAATACCTGTTTAGAATTCAAAGGCTTTCCACATTAATTACTTTTATTAAAACTAAAGTAAAAAAGCGTGTTCTATGACTCCTTACAATTCTTTAAAGTGTGTTTTAAATCATTTGAATTTTTTCATATCAAACCAAAATAATTCATCCTTTTGAAATTATGAGCAAATTTTCAAACTGCCTCCAAAGAAATGTTTGACAGATTACACACACCATACCAATATTCTTAAGTATAATTTTCAGAATTCTTCTTAACACCATAAACACAGGCTGAGAAAACTACGTACATATTTAAGATAAACACAGTAACATACTTTTTTGTGAAACTCTCGCTGTGCTTTAAACTCTTCTAAAATCCTCTTAACTTGTCGATCACATTCTTTTTGAAGAATTTCAATCACAGAAAATAATCGTCCAGGCCCTAAAGTTTCATACACAATTTAATTTCTATTTAAAAAATAAATCAGCAAGCTTTAGAAATAACAATGTATTACTAGGAATACATTTTAAATGTATATTATGTGATTACACATTCAGACTTTTCATCAACTGTATTAAAAATATTCTAAAACACTCAAATGCATTTTTTTAAATATATTTTTTGTTTAAAAACAAAATTTATGATTTTATTTGAGACTGCCATTCACACCAGTAAATTTTCTTCTTGATGACTGAACTAATAAAAAATAATAATAATTTTAATAAGTTGTACAGAAACATTTATTCAATGACATTTTAAGCTATAACTTTTACAGTCTTTCACAATTGCATTTCATAAAACTTTAAAATACCAATTATGTAAATGATTTTAATAAAAAAAAAAAAAGCTTCAATGGAAAGAGCATTTCACAGGGTTTCAAGAAAGATAAAAACTGAATAACTTTTGAATGAAAAAATATTTTATTTCATATTTTTAGGATTTGCACATCAGAATAAAGGAAATTAAAAGAAGAGTTTCTCAAACTGTTTTTCATTTGAAGAAACTAAGGAATAAAGTTTCAGTTCAGAGCTCTCGATAAACCACATGAGATAGACTATTAAAAACATCACTATCACAAGTTAGAAGAGAAACACATCAGTGTAAAACTCAAAATTAGGAAAAATTGCAAATTTACTTAGGCATAGATTTTGAACAAAACTCATTTAAATTTAAAATCAGAGTATTTGAAACCTTCCTAACACTTTTACAATTTTAATTATATTCTAACATTTTTTTTATGTTTCATAACTATTTTCTTCAACAGATTCACTTTGCTCTACTATTTCTTTTTCTTTCGATATTGCTGCTTCCCTTTAGCAGAATTCTTTTTGTATCCGAAGAAGACAGAGATGTGTCTGATTGGCGTCAAAATCAAATTAGTTTTATTCAAAATCTAGACCAAAATAAGTTGCCATTTTGAGCAACACTATAACATTTGAAATTGCTGTTTTCAGCTGTTCTAGAGGTTTTACTTGATTTCTGTAGACTTTGTTTAACATAGCTCTATAAGAAGTTGAATGGTACTAAGTCAGAGCTATATGGGAATTAAGTCTTTCACCAAAGTGATTCTGTAAGCCAGAATATTTTTTTGTTGAGTATGGAAGAGCTTTATTCTGCTGAAACCTTGTGTCTTAGATAAGTGTTTATAGCAGGCATCAAGAATGAACTCATTCTCAAGAATAAAATGTAGTGTTTAAAGCATGACCATTTGAGGGCCGCATTGCAAAAACAAAATATTTTTGGGGCTACGCATACAATATTTTTTAACAAATTGAAATAAAAATTAACTCTATGTTGTTTTATTAAAATAAATTCATTTCCTTTTATTATTAATTTTTTTAATTTGAATTATATATATATAGGTACATATTGTTACAAAATGTACAAGCGTGGTGAGATAGCTTCCCCGCGAAGAAGGCTTAGGGTTGCCATAAAATGGCAAGGGAAGGCAGGATTGCCTCATTTGGCGAGAAATCGCCCATTTGGTGACAAAATCGGCAATATACCATCCATCGACTGATGGAGAACCTTCTGGAACGAATTCTTACCGGTTGAGCCCAGAATGTTCTCGAACACAAGCCGAAAGTTATATAAACACTGCTGGACAGTTAGTGTAAGCCTCGTCTAGCGAGCTGATAGTCAGTCATTGAGCGAGTGTCTCGAAGTCTAGCGCCGAGTTGGTCGTTGAGTGCATCAAGAGAGTCTTTTAGTGTATCGCCAGTTAGTGCATCGGCGAGTTTTGTTTTAGACTGTACTGAGTCGAGAGCTATACTCTTGTGTATCGCCAAGTGCATCGCAAGTTGTAGCGTGGAGAGTCTCTAAAGTACGTGGAGTTTTGAGAACGACCAAGCAGAGTCGGGAGCTGCACTTTGGTGCTTTGCAGCGAAGCTGTCTCCACCGTTATTGCCTGACAGCGTAAAGGCTGTGTTGCTGATTGTTCCAGAGTGTTTATAGTGGATCTTCGACGACTGTAAAAAGTGACTTTGGAGCTGTCCTGATTAATATTGGCTAAATAAAGTGTGTTTCGATGTTTCATCAAGTAGCGTTGTTATTATTCACTCCAAATCCACACAAATCCTGTACATACGTGAAATGAAGGAAGAACAAAACGTAACAACTGGTGTCAGGAGTGGGGTTTGCAAGTGAATGCCTGTGACTCGCCTGCAGAGGAAAGCCATGGCGGTAGAAACAAAGACTTTGATGAACTTCTTGGCTGAGATGAAAGCTGAAATGAAAGCCGGACAGGAAAGGATAAAGACTGAGATCAAGAGTGAAATAAAAAGCCATAGAAGAAAAGGTGCAAGAGAAATTCGAAAAGATGGAAGTGAAACAAGAAAAGATTAAAAGCAAGATCGTGGAGCTTAGAGAGGATAGTGGAGCAAAAACAGCAGCTGTGAAAGAACGATTTGAAGAAAAATTGAGAAAATTCCGGGAAGTAGATGTTTCGAAAGAAAACGGGACTGAGCCCAAGAACGAAGCTGAAGATTTCAAGGTTGCCGCAGTGTACTTTCATACGGTAATCAAACCAAGCACATACGATGGAAAATCTTCATGGGGTGTATAAAAAGACCCCGTTTTCGATCATGGCAAAAAATAACAAGTGGGACTCCCACATGAAGGCTTTGCAGTTGGCTGCATCACTCCGAAGAGATGCTACAGACATATTAGGGGGCATCTCCGAAGACCAGATTTCAAACTTCAACATCCTCTCGAATGCACTGGAAACGAGATTCGAGGAAAAGTGCGCAAAGGACTGAAAGTTGTAATCTCACCAGCAGAAAATCATGGAAAGCCTTCAAGAACTGGCAACTGACATTGAGAGGTTGGTGCATCAAGCATATCTGGACTGTCTACCCGATGTCCGAGAAAACCTGGCCTTGATGAATTTCATTGATGCCATTAAAGATGCGGAAATTCAGAAAGCTCTCAGATTGGTGGATCTGAAAGACCTAAAATCTGCCCTGGTCTACGTTATGAAGTTCGAGTCGGCTCAACAAGCGACTCGAAGAGATCACCATCCTATTAGAGCGGCTCAAATAGAAGATCCAAATTTGGATATCTCAAAACTAAAAAAAGAATTAAAAGATATCCGGGAGACGTTAAGAGGACCTAATAAAAACAATACTGGGAAGAAAATCGTCAAGTGCTGGAACTGCAGATTGCAAGGACATCTCAGCAGGAACTGTTACGTGAATCAAGAACTGGAAGAGAGCTCCCGCAAAACAAAAACAGGAAAAATAACATGTGGAGGTTGCCAGGCAAAGATGCTGCCCCTCTGAAAGTTCTTCAAATCTCTTCAATGAGCGGTGGAGATAACGAACTGTTCGTCGAAGGAAACATGAATAAGCATCCTTGTAAGATGATCATAGATATAGGAGCAAATGTAACCATCGTGGCAAAAATGTAGCTTGATAATTGAGCGAAACGCTGTGCTGGACTTCACTGCAGAATCAGTACCTTCGGAAATGAGACCTAGCACCTAGCACTAAGCAGGAGCACTTAGCTTTCGTCGCTAACATCACAGACGAATTAATACTCGGACTGGACTTTTTGCGGAAGTACAACTTTACATTGGACTTTAAATGTAACGAAATATGCTCTGCAAAAGAAGTTATAAGTGTGTTTGAAATTAAGAGCAGCATTCCCTCAGCTGACCAAGTAACAACAAAAACAGATGTCACCATCCCTCCCACGACAGAATTATTAATAGCTGGCTCCATAGAAAATAATAGTTTCAGATTTGGACTAATTGAATACCCTGAAAATAGCCCAAGAGAGGTATTAGTGGCCTCCTCAGTAGTAGACCTTTCGAAAGATTTCATCCCCGTGAGAGTGGCAAATGTTAGCCACACACCGAGAAACATCCAAAAGGATGAAATGCTAGTAGCATGCACTCCAGTTACTTGCGTTTATAAAGTGCCACTTGAAATTCCGATTGAGGCAACTAGTAAATTAATGGAAGAACTTCTGCAGAGTGCAAATTTAACCCACAAACAAAGAAGTGTGGTAGAGAAAACAATTAAAGAATTTGTAGATCTATTTTCTAGAACATCTAGAGATGTTGGCCGCACAAAACTGACGCAACATCGAATTGATACAAGGGATCACTCTCTGATAAAGCAGCATCCCAGACGCCTACCATTCGCAAAACAGGAAAAGGTTTCGGAAATCTGAAGGAGATGCAAGAAAATGATATCATCGAACTATCTACAAGTCTATGGGCATGTCCTATAGTTCTTGTATGGGAGAAAGATGGCTCGATAAGATTTTGTATCTACTACCGGAGACTAAATAATGTTACTAAGAAAGACAGTTACCCTCTTCCCAGCATTAACGATACTCTAGACACCCTATCAGGACACAAATGGTTTTTCACTGTGGACCTCAAGAGTGGTTACTGGCAAGTGGAAATTCATCCCGATGATAGAGAGAAAACTGCGTTCACTACCAGTCAAGGATAGTCAGTCATTGAGTGAGTATCTTGAAGTCTAGCGCCGAGTTGGTCATGGAGTGCATCGAGAGAGTCTTTTAGTGCATCACGAGTTAGTACATCGTCGAGTTTTGTCTTAGACTGTGATGAGCTATATTCTTGTGTATTGTCGAGTGCATTCTGAGTTGTAGCATGGTGAGTCTTGAGAGTACGTGGAGTTCTGAGAATGACCAAGCAGAGTCGGGAGCTTTGCAACGAAGCGGTCTCCACCGTTATTGCCTGACAGTGTGAAGGCTGTGTTGCTGATTGTTCCAGAATGTTTATACTAGATCTTCAACGACTGTAAAAAGTGACTTTGGAGCCGTCTTGATTAATATTGGCTAAATAAAGTGTGTTTCGATATTTAATCAAGTAGTGTCATTGTTATTCACTCCAAATCCACACAAACCCGTACGAATGTGAAGTGAAGGAAGAAAAAAACATTAAAAATATTTATTATAAATTTGTAAAAGTTTTGTTTTATTTAGTTTGGATTTCACGAAGGTGGAAAAAATTCAAATTAACGAGATTGATGAATTTGCTTTTGTTTAACAAGCAAATCGATATCGGGTTCAATAGACGAGGTTGCAATTTTTAATTCATTTTCAAGATGTTTGTCAATTATCTTTGTCCTATTTTTGTCTTTTGTATGTTTCATTCTTGAAAATAATTGTTCACAAATATAGGTACTGCCAAAAGCTGAAGCCATTAATAAAGCATGATTGTGAAAATTAGGATATCTATCGTGGGGTAGGTAATCTTTATAAAACTCTAGTAAAGAAATATTTTCAAATTTTTCTTTCAGTTGAATGTCACTTTGAAGTTCAATGCATTTCATTTGAAGATAATTTACTTACCTCCAGAGAAAATGCGGTAGAAAATATGTTGAAATACTCTTCATTTTTTTGAAAAACCTTGACTTGAATTAAATAAAAAATTAATGCAGCACATTTTACATATTTTGTGCAACTCACAGTTTTATATGCAACCAAAGTACTGAAATGTGTCAAATCTTTTACTTTAATTTCATTGTGCCAAAATTTTAACTGTCTTTCAAACGTTGTTATTGTTTGGAATGTATTATTAATAAGCTGATTTTTTAACTTGTCCCAAATTTAAATCATTCAAATATTCTGTTAAGTCTACTAAAAAAGCTAAATCTAAAACCCAGTCTTCATCTTCAAATTCCGTCATACATTTCCCTTTTGTTTCCATAAATATTTTTATTGTAAAATCTTTTGTAAATCTTTGTAATCTTTTATTGTAAAATCTTCTTAAATTGTAAAATCTTTTGAGCATTTTCCCGTTACTGAGCCATCTCACTTCTGTATAACAAATAACATCTGCAAATTCAGTGCCCATTATCTTAAGAAAATCTTGAAATTCTTTTTTTTTTTTTTTTTTCCTATGATTAAGTCTTTTTGCTCTTATAAAGTTAATGGTTTTTATAACAACGCTTAATACACTTTCCATTTTTTAAATTTTCCCACATAAATTGCTCTGATGTACAACACAATGATATGCCATTAAGATCATATTGCTGGCAGTGACAGCTTCATTATTAACCATTTTAATGAGTCCCTCCATTTTTTAACAACCATGGTAAGGGCTCTATCGGTTATGATAGCTGATAAATTTTTCATACATAAGAAAAAATTTTTCATTGTTGTTTTTAATGCATTGAATAAATCTAGACTTGGTTGTGTCCTTTAACAATACTAAAATAACCATTTCTTCCATAATATTATAATGTTCATCAATTCCTATGATAAAGATTGCCAATTGTGCTGCATCAAAAGCGTCAGTGCTTTCGTCCATGGCTGATGAATAAAATTTTAAATTGATGCATTTGCTTTTTAAAGACTTTTCAACTGAATTCCCCAACTCTTCAATTCTTGGGGCTATAGTTTGGTGTGATAAACTGTTTTTAAAAAAATCCAACTTTTTTCAGGGCAAATTATGTTTGCTACACTTTCAATACATTCTTTTATAAATTCACCATCAATAAAGGGTTTTGATTTTTCACTATTAAATTTGCTACGACATAACTTGCTCTTGCAATGTCATTACTTTGAGTAGCTGTCTTTTTAAAAATTTTTTTCAGACAATAGCCCTTTTTTTAGTTCTGTTATTTTATCTTCATAGCAAATGCTGAGATATACATCATATTTTGCGGCATGCTTTTGACCATAATGTTGTTTCAAATTGTAGTCTTTAAAAACTGGCACAAAGTTCCTACAAATTAAGCAAAGTGATTTACTATTCTCCTCAATAAAAAAGTATTTCTCTGTACAGTTGTCATTAAAAACTCTTTTTCCATTTTCCATTTTTTTTTTTTTTTTTTTTTTTTTAACTTCTGTACAAGTGGATAAAATTTGGCTTTACTAGCTTTGTTTATTGATAAATTATTTGAACAACAGATAGCAAAGCCTATTAAAATGCCCTGTATATATTGAATACAGTGATATAAAAAATATAAATTTTCAAGATTTATTCACATTAATTAAATTATGACAAAACATTCAGCTATCTGCTTAATGGAAGGGAAGCCTTTATGGGCATGTTAAAGGGAACTACCTAGCATTCACATAATAAATGAGAAAAATCGTAGAATTCTCAAGCACTCAGCTCATTTACAAGGATTTGAACTTGTATTGAATGATTAATGTTCAGCAGTTTTACTGCTTGGAAGCCAATCGGCAAATTTTCAAAAAATAAAATAATAAAAAAAAATAAAACAGATTTTTAAGAGGGGGAAAAAAATATCATTGCACAGTTTTTGAAGTCACTACAATATATCAATAATAACTTATCCCTTTATATAAATAGCGTTAAAATTTAGATTTGTAAAAACCAGACAACTGTTCTAAAATTTAGCTCCTGATTGAGAAGCAGGAAGCATGACAACAAAAAATATAATTTTTCAACTATAATCCTTTGATGTAGGAATATAGCAGGGATAAATAATAACAAAAAATCAAAAGAAATATAAAGAAATAACAGCATTACAGAATAATTATGTAGAATAACATTTAAATATAATAAAAAACTCAAAATAATTGAATTATTGAAAAAATGTAAAACCTTTATAGATAAAACCCCCTTTAAGATAATTTCTGCCTTTAGAAATTTTTAAAATTTCCTTCTGCATTCGGTTAAGACCACTTTCCCCTAAAATTCTGTTTCTTAATGCAAAAATTGAATACTCTTCTCATTTATTCAGCATTTGATAAAACAAAAATTTACGTTTGGGACAGTGCTCTCAGGGGAAAAAGTATATAATTTAACTAATAAAAAACTAAATGTTTAAAAATTAAAAAAAAATAATTTTAACTTGTTTAAAAAAAATCATGTTTTTTAGTTAATGGAAAAGATATAAAATAAAAATTTTCTATCAGTTAATTAATTACAAAAATTAATTAACTGATAGAAATATAAATAATAAAGATTTATAATAATACTTATAAATCTTTCAATTGTGACTTCAATTAAAAGATCATACAGATTTAGATTACAATTCAAACACTCAAACAAATAAAAATGCAAAGTGCATTCTTTATTTAGAAATACACCATAACTTAAAATATGAGAATAAATAAGATGAAAAATATTCATTACATCAATATCTTGCCTCCCCTCTTCTCCCTACTGTTTTTAAATACTTTTTTCTTTTATGAAATGTTACTTCTTTTAGCTATGATATTTTTCTAGAATTTTTTTGAGAATATTAATAAACAATTATCAACTTGCAAATTAATATCAATACTTATTGCAGACAAATACCTATATTTATTGGCTATAGCATTCTAATGTCTTTCTAACAGAACAAAATGAAAAAAACCTCTCAGTACAATATTGTATTGAGTAATCCAAAAGTAATTGAAAAATTAAAAATCCAATAATTGAAAATGAATAGTAGCACAATGCAAGTTTGGCAGAAATATACAGAAAGATATGAGATTTTTTTTTTTTTTAACTGAGTTTTTATTATGAGATTTTTAAGAAACCCCAAACATGACAGTGCAGTGCAGATTCACTGTATCATTCATTATAAGCCCCACCAGTACATTTTGAACAGTTTTCATCATAGGTGAGAACTATGCACTGCATTTATGAAATAGCACCATTCACCCCTAGCAAGAGAGAAAGTACTCTATAGTGTAACATTCATGTAGAATGGAGTCTTTTCTACAGGTCGTGCCCAGCATTTGCTGAAATTGATAGCTGATGATAACAGCGTCCTTCATTGCTTTCTTTTAGGGCACAATAAAGCTTCCAGCACAAAAAATCGTTTTTTAAGCAAACTGAGGATTTAAACTTTTTTCAGAAATGTCAGCAGTGCAGTGCAATTTTCATCAAATCATCCCCAACCGAGGGGGGAAAGTTTTATCATTGTGTTTTGAAGCACAATATTTATAATAGCACCAAATAGCGTTAAAAGAGAGTACTCTCTCGTGTTACTCTGAGAAAGAAGGAAGCAGGTCAAAAATATCATTTGAAAATAACTTTGATGATAATTAGAGCCATTGGAAAATAATAACAGCCAAAAAAATATAAAGAAATTATAGCATTATTTATAATTATTAGAATAACCACTTGAAATCATAAAAAAATCAAAAATAAGAAATTATTGAAAAAAAGGACACCTTCTAGCTGAAACGCTTCTTTAACTATGCCAATTTTAAAAATCCTTATGCATACCAACTGAACAGACCAATTTTGTACTGTGTTTGAATTTGCTATTTGGTTTGATCTGATTGGATAAAGAAAGGACCAGTGCTCTTCTGGGGAAAAATTATTTTAATAATAAAAAAACTTTTTTGTGCATTTTAAAAACTGTATTTACTGGTCCATCATCCCCAATGAATCTGAAAAGATTTAAAATAAAATTTTTGCATAATTATTAAAATTAATAATAGGTTTAATAATAAAGACACTTATAATAATAATTTAAATCACTAAATGACTGACTCTCCACATCATACAGAAGAATTAAACAAAACATAAACAATCAGCAAGGTTCTTTATCTTTTGTCCATGGGAAATATGCAGTTTTATGTTTTTGAGATTTCTGCATCTAATATGTAATAAATGTTTTTTAAAAAATTTTCTAATAGAAATAAATACACCTGTATTTCCCAAGCAATGTTGACTGGAAATCATCTTATAAAAAAGCATATAGAGTGTGATACGTCACACATCTATTATACTTTTTTACCGCTTTCATTTTAACACTTGACTTATCACAGTTTAGTTCTCATCTTTTCCATTCTTTTTGATTAAACTGAACAGATCCCTTTTAGCAAGCTTTATTGTATCCGTTTCTGCTTCTCAAATTTTAATAACAGGCCAAATGTGTCTTGTAGTGGCTTGACATGGTTATCACCTGGGTTCAACATCATATATATGGTTTACTAATATTTGAGACACTTACCATAATAGGTTTCAACTAAAGGCTGATGAATCTCAACAATGCGGGCAATACCTTCAAACAACAGAGTTGCAGTATCAGCATATTTTACAGTCCATCTTTTGTCAGATGGGGAGACACTCTGTGCCAGTTTTAGGTTTTTTTGAGATTTCTCTGCAATCTAAATGTATATAAATGTTATTAGAAAAATTTTCAATAGAAAATAAATACAACTGTATTTCACAGCAATGTTGACTGAAATCAAATCTTGTAAAAAAGCATATAGAGTGTGATACTTCACACTCTATATACTTTTTTACCGCTTTCATGTTAACACTTGACTTATCACAGTTTAGTTCTCATCTGTTCCATTCTTTACCTGAAGCAAACATCTCACCAGACCCAATTTTAGCATAGCTCTTGTTTTCAGATCCTTTTCTGCTTCTCAAATAAATTAATAAACAAAATGTGTTTTAGGTGCTTATTGGTTATCCTGGGTTCTATCTTCTTGGAGCAAATTTTGTTTATTAACAAAACATCAAAAGTAAACTCCAGCGGAAAAAATAAACTACAAAACAGTTTAGAAAACTTAAATAATCTCAAAAGAATTTAATGCCAAAAAAATAAAATAAAAAATAAACTCTTATAAAACTTGCATTTTTGCTATTGCATGTAGATGCATATAAAATATTAAATACTAAAAAACAGTTTTAATAAACAACTCTTCCTTGCAAAAACATAATTTATTTGTTTTGGCCTCCTCGGTGATTGCGGTAATTTGTACCCAGAGGGTGCATCGCACAAAAGAGTTCCGTTATAGAATGTAAAGTAGCGGACATACCAATAAATCAGGCATATTACCGTTAATTGATATAGTTGCATCGTATCTGCCACGTGGTAGAAATCTAGTACGGTGTATCAATTTATATGTGTCTGCGAAGTTGAAAACATGTGAAGTTAAAACTTTAAAATTGCTGAAATTAACGATTACAAAATATAATGGTGATCCTTGTTTCTGGCTTGAATTCAGGAATCATTTTTGTAATTCCATTCACCAAAACGAAAGTCTCAGTTCAGTTGACAAGTTTTGTTATTTAAAATCGCTTTTGGGAGATTTAGCTTTAAATGCTATTAGTGAAATATCATTTACTAGTGAAAACTATATGGTGACTGTTGATATACTGAAAAACCGTTTTGGCAGAGATAACATGCTAATTTATGTGCATATGAATAAATTGTCGAGTTTAGAACCTGTAAAATATTCCGGAAGTACGGCTGCTTTGAGGAAGCTTTATGATGAGATAGAAATACAAATAAGAAATTTAAATTCCTTAAATGTTCCTTAAATCGTAATTCCTTGTGGACATTTATTATCCCCTATTTTGTTAAAGTTAATACTGATAAAATTTTGTTAAAGTTAATATTGATAGCTGATGATAACAGCGTCCTTCATTGCTATTTCTTACATGAACAGCCACAAAGACTTTCAGATCTTACACCTTATATGGGGATATGTTATCGATAGTTAAGAGGATACTTGAAATCACAGCTGCAGAGGTTTGTCCATGTTATTGGTCATAATGGAAGAAATTATTCATCATCAAATGACAGGAATTATAGCTGAACCTTCTTTCATACTATGCTTGTTGTGTTATGTTTAACAAATACCACACTGAACATTTGTAATCCCATTTGTACTGCGAATTTTGCTATGCCATTGTATGAGCTTCTGATATAGTTAAAGCACCACCTATCACTGCAAAATATTAATAAAATTTTTTATTATTGTAAAAGTCCAAAAACAGGCCAATGTCTTTTTGTGCATTTCTGAGAAAACTGTATTGTAATATGGTCCATACATTTCCCCAATGAATTCTGACATTTTTTGTAGCTTTTGGATCACCTAGTATGTGTATATCTATCACATACTTCATACATAGCATATATATGGTTTACTAATATTTGAGACACTTACCATAATTTAACTCTAGAACTCTAGAATTTAACTCTAGAATTCACTAGGAATAGAAAAATAAACAAAATTTCAATGTTAAAGAACAACTAAAGTTCTTGAAAACAGAAGTGGAATGTAGGGAAACATCAATGATATTAGTGCGTTCTAAGAATTTTGATGTAAATGAACCATCAGTATGAAACAAAAGTTCCCATCAAGGTTTTTTCAAAATAAATCTTACGTGCATTCTAAAAGAAATGATTACAGCACGAATAAGCAAGGTGCTTTAATATTAACTAGTAAAAGCGAAACTCCCTCTAAATACTGGCAAAAATCACGTTATAATCAAAACCAAAAGTTCTATACTAAGAAAGAGAATCAAGATGTCTGCATTTTTTGTTTATCTGCTTGTCACATGAATCATGATTGCCCATTTGATTTAAAGGCTCGGCGAAAGGCCTTAATGGATTGAGGTTTATGTTTTATTTGCTTTTTGAAAGGCATCCAAGGCATTTCTGTGCTCATAAAGATGAAAAGTGCAATGTCCAGGGTTTATATAATTCGTTAATATGTGATGCAGCATCGAAGGATACCTCCAATCAGACAAAACAAACGCCAATCTCGGAAGCTTCTCTTTCGCTCTTATGTAATGAAAATAATAGCAAAATTAAATATTCAACTTCCGTTCTTTTACATATGTTTTTGGCGACAGTGAGGTGAAAAGGGAGCGAAAAGGTATTGCATTGTATGCTAGATTCAGGGTCAACAAAGTCATTCATCTTATGAGAAATGGTCGATTCATTGGGGTTGAAAATTATTAATAAAGAAGCGCTTATTATTTTCACATTTGGATGCAAAGATGCAAAAGAGTGCTTGTGTGATATCGTAGAAATAGTATTGCAAAATGTAATCCAATAAAAGGATAAAAAATCCCAATAAATGTATCCCAATAAAAGGATAAAAATTAATGCAATAGTCATTGATTCTGTAACACAAGGGCAAGTAAAAGTTCCTTCTCAGTGGATACGAAAGATGGCACTTGAGAAAAAAATAGAATTAGCAGATACTGGTACAAGTAATGAAATTCAAGTATTAATAGGTTTGGATCATATTTGAAAATTTTAGAGGAATAAAACGTGAAGATTTGTAAAAAATTAGTTGCAACGGAAAGCACTTTTGGTTTCGTAATTCAATGCAAGGACGAAGGATCAAATTGTAAGGAGGCAAGAGTTAATTATATAACCGTTGTAAATGAGGACTTATATTACAAGAGAGTTAAAAAAATATTTGAATTAGAAGCAATTGAGATAAGTACGAATAAAGAAATATCTCGATCAGATAAAGAAATTTTAGAGTCATTTGAATGAAATACAACCTACAAGAATAAAAGGTATGATACTCAATTATTGTGGAAAGAGGGTGTTGACAAATTGTAATTTGAAAATGGGGTATTACATGCCTAATCACATGGTAGTGCGCGAGCAGAAGGATTCTACAAAGGTTCGAATAGTTTTTGATGCTTCTTCTAAAAGTAGAGAAAATTTTTTTACTTAATGATTGTTTGGAAAGCAGACCTAATTTAAATCCCAACTTGCTAATGATTATCATTAAATTCAGGGTACATTCAAACATGTTTTGTGCCAACATTCAGGGTGAATTTTTAGAGGTAGGCTTAGCTAAAGATGATAGGAACTTTTTAAAGTTTTAGTGGATAAATGAAGAGGGGCCAAATCTTGATCACAGTAATTCCAACTTACAAGTTCTCCAACACAATCGAGTCCCTTTCGGGGTCAAGTGCTCGCCTTATTTATTAACAGATACAATAAGACTGCATTTAAAAAGGCATGGAGATGCCTTTGAAGAGGTATGCAGTATGTTAAAAGAGCTTTGTGTGGATGATTTAATTTCTGAGACAGTTAATGTAGCAAGGGCCTTATTTTAAAGCAAGGACATGATTTTCATTCTTAGCAAGGCCAGTATGAATCTACATAGATGGGTTTCAAACTCACCTGAGCTGAATAAACTATGGAAACTTAATGAAGTTGACTGTTGTCAGACATCTGAAGACTTTTTGATACCGTTGAAAGTTAGGTCTTATCGTTGAAATTTACCGTTGATTACCGTTGAAAGTTAGGTCTTATCTGGGACAATGTCAATGATAATTTGAAAATAGATGTATCTCAGTTTGAGAAGTTAAAAATCTTAAAGTAACTAAATGCATCATTTTAGCAGCATGTGGTATGCTGTTTGATCCTACAGGATTATGAATCCATTTAGGAATTTAGGAATTATTATTCCCTTGGGAATTTTGAATCCCTTTACTGTTTGAATTAAATTCTTAATGCAAACTATGTGGGAAAAGGGTATTCAATGGGACGAGGATGTTTCCTTTGATACAGAATTCATATTTCAAGAATGGTTAAAAGATGTTGAAAAAAATTAAGTTTTTCGAAATTCCCAGACAGTACTTCAATGATATGTGATGGCAGTTTTTGAAAGTTCACATATTTTCTGATGCCAGTCCCAAATGTTACGGTGCTGTAGCATATTTTAGATTTGAGAAGAAAAATAAATGTAAAACAAGTTTCATAGTGTCGAAATCCTGTTTAGCTCCATTAAAAAAGGTAACACTCCCTAGGCTTGAACTTTTGGGAACATTAATTTCTGCAAGATTAGGTTCGTATTTGCAATCGATATTTCCGCAGTTGAATAAGGGAAATATATTTTACTGGACTGATTCCCAAATTTGCATTCACTGGATCAAGGGACCTACCAACGAATGGGAACAAGAATGGAATTTGTTAGGAACCGTATGCGAGAAATCAAGGAGAAAAATAAATTTAAACAACTGGTACTTTTGCAGTGGGAAGACCAACCCTGCTGATAAACTTATGAGGGGGATGAATACTGAAACTCTAATTAATAATAGTGATTGGTTTTCTGGGTAACCTTGGCTTTCAGAAGTAGATATTCAATGTCACATAACCGAAATGAATACCGAAGCTGACTTGCAAAACGTTAGTGAAGAACACAAATGTGTTACTTTGAAAACACTTAAGGAATCTACAGAACCTTTAAATTTAAACAAAGTACTGGGAATAATGGCTTATGTTTTGCACTTCGTGAACAACTGTAAATTCACTCGTGAAAAGCAATCTGGTGTGCTTATCGCCTATGGGTTATGGAAGGCTTCAGAATTTACTATAAGAAATGTTCAACTTAATTTT